GCGTCCCATACAGCACTACTCGCTCGCTCGTCCATGTGGGGGCCGCGGGGGAAATTCTGGGCTGAAGTCCACACATCTTGAAACATGCTGGCTAGGGACTTCTGGGAGTTGAAGTCCACCCATCTTAAAATGGCCAAGGCTGAGAAACACTGGCACCAAGTGGTGCTCGGACATAGAGAGTAAGAAAGGTGGCCTTGACAGGGATATGCAAGATATGCAAATCCATGACCAAAGTGACAAGGGGGGAAACGTGACAGACAGATAATATTCAGAAGAGGCTCAGCCAGACACCTCCCTGATCCACAGCAGTATAAGAAGGGGAGGAGATCCAGCACAGATTCTGTTCTTAGAGCCCATCTCAAGAGATGTAGTTTTAGCCTTCCTGTGGAGTTGATTTCCTGGCCTGGTCTACCTCGTGGGGCTGACCCTGGATGACTATTCAGGAAAAGGATAACTGTATTTATCATTGTTTTTATTGCTCTCCCTGCATTCCCGTCTAGCTCATCCCTGTTCTGCAGAAAACAGATTTTTTTGAAAGGCCCTTTACTTGTGCTGGACTCCAAAGCCCCTGGTAGCACTGCCAGGGATCAGAGGGCAGCGGATGGGAGAAAGTCCACGCAAGGCAATCACCGCTGCACGTTCTTGGGAGGCCCACAGAGGGTTCCACAGGCAGCTTCCATCCAGAAGGAACCAGGATGAGACCCTACTGGACCCGTTGCCATCATTCAACATTAATTCCCTCACCAGGCTGATGCGAGGATAAAATAAGGAAGGGGAACCATGTTGTAGCAAGATCAAAATCTAATGAGGAGGAGAGAATACCTCTTAAGGCAGGGCTTATTAAAAAAATTAAGATGTGTTTAAAAATCACCTGTCCCGTCCATGAAGTAGCTCCAGCTGAGCCTGATGCTTGGAAACTTCATAGAGAAGGGGCCTGCCACAGCCTTCTTCCAGAACATATCTTCATCTTCCCAGCCTAGCTGACACCCCCAGAATTTCCTAGTGGTCTCCTATCCCATTACTAAGCAGGCATGACTCCCCCTAGCTTCTGAAAGGTCAGCCAAGGACAGCACGTGCTGCCACCTACTGCAGTATTAAGGGCATTACAGGACATTTTCCAAGTTCATTAAGGAAAAAAAAGTCTCTCTCAGCCGAAGCTCAACTGGTAGAGACTTGGTGGTAGTTTATTTGGTTACAAAACAGAAGGGCTTTGCCACCGTTCTTCTGGAGGTTTCAAGTCTCGCTTCCAGCTTTTCATTTTCGAACCACTCCAACGCTCTTTTTGCTTTTCTTCTTCCCAAGAACAACCAAGGTCAGTGAATTGTTGCTGCAACTTTTTCTCTCCCCCCCCCATAACAAAAATGAAACAGGGCTGTCCTCTTAAGAAAGGGCTAGAGCTACACCTTGGGAGACCCACCCACTCAACGGGCTTTGCTCCCAAGACCAACGGCCTCGTTAGACCATGAGAAGCGGGTCTCCCCCCTTACCTCCAGTCATTAAGTAATCCCTCAAAATGGGCCACCTGAAGTTCCCCGTGAGCGTAGTGACGTACGGCCGTATCCCGGGGAATAACTGGCTCACTCCTGTGGCCTCGGTGCTGAAATTGCAGAAGGCCCCCAGGCATAGGATCCCATGCGGGTGGTAGCCAAAAATGTAATTCTTGTTAGGGGGCAGGTTGTGAGTTTTGACCATCTGGGAAAGGAGAGAAGGAAGGGGGGAGAAACAGTGTTAAATTGAAAACACACATGTAAGATAGTGGGGTGTTTTATAGATATAGCTCCAAGCAAACGCAACTTACATTCTGTATAATCTTTTCACAGTGTCCCTGTTAAAGTTTTCATTTTTCTTATCATCGTCAACCGCCCAGAATCACTGGGAGTCGGGCGACATATAAATTTAAAATTATTATTATTATGGTGGGTCACACAGCCAGATGTTTAGACTGGATGTGGCATTTTCATCCAACTATCGAGTCCTTCCCAAGAACCTGGGATAGGCAGAGTTGTTGTTTGATGGGGTTAGAGTTATCCACTCTATTCCACCCCCTATTCCTCTGAAGGAAGGAAGAGAGCGACAACTCCAGAATCTGACCTAGGTTTTCAAACAAGAGGGATCTCCTTTGTTGGAAAGGAAGAAAGAGCAGATCTTAACAACACCCTGAACTCTGGCATGGCAACATGATCTTATTCAGGCAACTCAGTTTACCAACCTTAAGAATTCACAAGGATCTCTTATTTCATCCCCCAGCTATTGGAGCTTGAATGCTGGTAAGGAAAAACACTCAGAGAACCAAACAGGATGAACTGAATGGCTTTTCAGCCTTCTGTTATATCAAAGGAAAAGCCCCCTGCTCCATGGGACTTATTTCTTGCAAGTTTTTCAACCATATCTCTGTGAACTTTCTCATATTAACTGTCTAGGTTCCCCCTCCAAGAAGGCTTCAAAGCATGGAGGCATTCGAAGACATCTTAGCTTGCAGAATACCCTGGGGAGGAGAACTAGGGTTAGCTGCAACAACCAGTCATGAGGGACCCTTACCAGCAAACCTAGATAACGACTGGGTTCAACCATCACACCCCATTGTGATTTTGCAGCTACGGCAGCTGATCACCATGGTCTCAACTCAACAAATCAGTCAAAACCAACTCTGGCTTGGTGTGATGTGTGAACCATGGTTAAGGCATGTCATTTCTTGCCATAGAATATCTGACATTTCCCTGAATTAGAAGAGCAAGTTTATGGCATAGGTTGAAACTAGAGATTCTGTCTATGATTCTGGAGTGCGCAGGACGCAAGTGGAATGGAGGGCTTTCCGTACAAGGGGATGAGGAGCGGGTGCCAAGCCAGAAGCCTACCTAAGCTGGCAGAAATCAGAAAAAGCCTGCCAGAGGTTGCTTCCCCATTGCGGGGGTGAGTAGAGGATAACACTGTATATTCCCGTCCTGGTCAGAAATGGTCAAAGATCTGAAGTCACAGTGGGAAAAGCCGGTCATGCAGATCAGCTCTGAGAAGCACCCCTGAAATCAGTCCAGAAATTGGTCATTGGGGTAACTCACGTCCATTAACTTCAGTGGCCGTGAGTTCCAACCCACTTATTTCTTTCCAGCATGTCCATCCAAGACACAGGACAACTCATAACAGAAAAAGGCACCAACGAAACAGGGCAAACAAGCAATAAAACCTCCTCGTCTCAGTCTTAAGGCAACCATGAAGACCAAAAAAACTGGCTTAGAAGGGCAATCTAGGCATTTGTTGACTGCATAAATGAAAACACATCACAGTAGGGTCGAATAAAAAAGCTTGGCCTCGTTCACACAACAGGGGTTGCCAGGTCAGTCAAAAACCTGGTGGCTGTACTGGCTGAGCCTGGATTAGTTTAAGCCTGGATTGAACTTTGGTAACAGCGAGTTGTGAGAACTGTGTATGATTTGGGGATCCTACATTTTATATGTACCAGTGGTACCTCGGGATACGAATGGCTCTACTAACGAACATTTCGGGTTATGACCAGCTTCGGCAGGAAAAATTTACCTTGGGTTACGAATCGGATCCGCGGCCATTTTCCCTGCTGCCACGCGGTCGCAGCTTCCTGTGGGCGAGGTCGCGGTAGCAAGGAGACGTT